CTCTGGCTATTGCTAAGATAATATCTTATGGTTCAGCCTGAATTAAGATATTAATCCAAACCAGAGGAGCCAGCTACATTTCAGACATAACTGACAGAAAATGGGTTCATATAAACTAATAAATGTGTAGCCTATGCAATTCTTAAAATGTTTTATTCATTGTTGTTGTTGAGTTTGAAAAGTAAAGTAATCAAATCCAAATGTAATGACCGCCCTCTTAGTTAGATGAGATCTACTTGTTATTGTAATAATCCCTATCTTTTTAAAAGCGTACACAGAAAACACACACATCGGTTCGTTTGGGTTGAAGTCGCTTGTCACAGTGTCGATGTGGAAGGTGGCTTCCAGCTGTGGTGAGTGATGTGTGTTCTAATAGGCTGTGCTACACAATATGTCATCTCTTCAACACAAGACGCTCTGCAACGGTGAACTGCAGGGAAAGAAGAGGAGCACAGCCCAGCTGCCCATTTATCAGATCTGTCAGATGATGGATAACAGTAAAATGTAGGTGGAGGTGACGGCTCTTTATCTCAGTCATCCTTCACGCTGTGGGCACACAGCAGTCACTGAGCTCACCATTGTCAGCCGTTTATTGTTGTCTGGGATATTCACCTCATAAGGAAAAACGTGTATGTCATTAAGAAACTGTTAACTATTCCCGACTGATTCACTGGGTCTAAACAGGCTGCTGCAGCCAGAGTCAAACACAAGCACATCAATAGCTATGTTTATATGCAAAAAATTCTTTGATTGGATTGAAATGTATTTGGATTAAATAATCCGAATGTATTGTTTACATGGGCACAATCCATTCACGATGAGCGTTTACATGCAGCGGGCTTTTATTCTGAATAGAAGTACTGACATGCGCAGAGTGGTAAACTCTCCTTAAAACAACCACAGAAGAAGTTCTACTTCCAGGATGAACGTAAACAAAACTGAGCGTCCAAATTGGACCCGTGACAAGTTTTAATGATGGTGGAGACGTTACTGCACTCCCTGACTGAGCTGCAGGTAATACACATCATTTTGAGCTCTTTCAAAGTTTCTAGTAGAAATGTTGTCGCCCACCGACCAGTTTTGCTTCCCCGTCATATTAACATCTAGCCAGGTGGAAATACACGAGTCTGACAGGTCACACATGCACAGTCAGGTCAGTTTTCCACTATCGGAATAAACTGATCAGATTAAGTGTTTACATGCACACCGTACGGATTATGAATTGGCATAAACTACCCCTTTCATTCGGATTACAAATTCATTCGGATCAAGCTGAATCAGCTTGGAAAAATCCGAATGGGGCGTTTACATGACACATTTTTATTCCGAATGGCCATTTAATCCGATTACTTATGTCCATGTAAACATAACTACTACTGTATATGACTAAATATTTTCAGCTTCAGCCACTATAAAACATAAAATCCATTAACCAGTTAGATTTCTTTTAGGTTTTTTATCCCAGGTTATCTACGAAAATATGTCTTTCTAGCAGTTCTTTATGGTACAACACAGCTTTGTGCTGAAAGGAGACATAATACGTTCATTTTTCACAAGCTGAACCGTCGCCTGAAGTCTTAATACAGCAGCCTTTATATGCTTTGGTCATAATACAGCAGGAGCTCGGTATCAAAGCAATCTAATTCATCTAGTTTTCAGAGCTAAGTCCTGTGCAGCTGGATTTAGGCAGCGTAGTGAAACACTCGACTCCAATCCTCCCCTCTCCTCTGCAGGGTGTGTTTTAGAGGCAGTTGTAGTCACTCGAATTACCTTAACCCCTAGAGTCTACAGAAAGTAGTGCCAAAATTCAAAACAGCACATGCAGCTGACTTAATTCATACTAGCTTGTTTATTGTCACCCACTTGATTTTTTTCTCAGGTCTGCAGGTCAGGCATGAATAGATGCATTGGAAAGGTTCTACCTCTGAGTCTCGATTAGACCAGTTCCTCCAATAGTTTTTAAGGCATTGTACTCTGTACCAGTGAGGTTTGCACTCACCTTCATGTGTTGTGTCAGCTGGGACATCAGCCACATGCTCAGATCCAGGAGCTAAACCGCCTTATGACCACGTGACACAAATATAAAGTTGTGTTGATGCCAAGCTTCAAATAATGTCAGTGATTATGGTGAGTACGATAAATTAAAGGCTCTGTGTTAATCAGTAGGTGATTTTTGGTGCTTTTAACCCTCTATTGTGTATTTAAGTTATCAGCTGTTAACGACATAATAAACTTAGAGGATGGGTCATCCCTGGTTTAAGGTGACCTCTCTTCCCATCAGCAAATGCACTCTTCTCCGTTTAGAGGGAAGCTCCTCCCTTCCTCGCGAGAATCATCACTTCTATCTGGGTCACCACCTAGCTGGCTCAAATGTGCCACTGGTTTGGCTTTTTGTTGGGTTGTCTACAAGCTCCGTTATTTAGACTTTGCTACTTTGATCACATTCATTTTCTTTTCATTTCAACGTGTTTTGGTTTAGAGAAGTTGGAACAAATGGAAAAAATGTCTCTTTAAAATCAAGAATAGCCATTTTTTTTTTTGTTTGTTGTCCATTTTCTCAAACATTTATGAGGAATAATGTGAGGGGAGCAGATAAGAACACAAAAATACTTTTTATATCAAGCAAAAATATCCAGCCGAGAGCTTTCCAGGGACTCTGCCAAGAAGCAGCGAGGCTGTTTTGTTGGCACGGAGTGACCGAATATTCTGCTAAGCCTGTTGTGTTTGTGGTTCTTGTTCTGCAGCAGTTTGCCTTAAGAGCATAAATATCCACATCGACTCCCTCAGCATGAAAATTGCATGTCCAGAATGGCAGCAAGTTTTCAGTAACACACACACACACACTGCAGTAAAACACTTCCTACTGCTGTTTGGCACCTCACTTTCCTGTTCAGCCTGGCTCGACCAAGTGGAGCAATTAGCTGGAAAGTTTATCGGTAGGGTGGGTCAGACTGACTCTAGGTAAATAGACTGTAACCGCTCGTCTACATGCACAACTGTACAGATGCTGCTGCTTAATAACTGCTCTGGTGCTGATAGCAAAAAGAAAAAATAAATATCTCTTCTGACTCCCTCATTGTTTGGTTTTCATATTTTCCTAACTGATTTCATCTTGTTAAAATTTGCTCAAGGCAGAGTTATATTATTCTACAAGAAAGCGCACACGAGCTGCTAGAAACGCTCCTCTGTAAATCGTTTCCTTTTCGAGCAACGTGTGCAATCCAAAGCACCCGTTCACAACATTTGTCTCGTCGAGCTAGCAAGCACAAACTGATGTTTTTAATTCGTTGGCTCGAATTCATTGAACCACTTGTGAATTCCTGTTGCTTCATGCTTCTTAATGTTTTGTGCTGTTTAAGTTGAATTCTATGATGGAATGATGGACATCTTTAAGAAAGCGACAGAAATGTTGCAAAAACAGATTGATTTTAATAGAAACGTTTGAACCAGTCTTGCACAAACTGAAATGTTGTCTGTCTTTTTTTCCCTCTGGGAACGCAGAGAAATGTTTATTTACATAAACTGAACATGAGCTGATCTGTGAACCGTTCAGCAGACACCCAGCATGGCCTTAATGCTGGAGGGAGGTTTTCTCAGAACCTGTTGCTTTGGAAGAAATACAGAGGTGTGTGTGTTTATGTTTCAGGTTGTCTTGTAGGGACCAATTTTACAAAAAAAAAAAAAAAACATGCATTGTGGGAACCAACTGCTCTTTATGGGGACCAAAGCCTGGTCCCCATTCCTTTATTTAGACAGGTTAATCCCATTGAGGGCAGCACGATGGCACAACTGGTAGAGCTGCTGCCTCTCAGCGAGCAGGTCCCCAGTTCAAATCCCGGTCCGGGTGTCTTTCAGGGTGGAGTTTACATGTTCTCTCTATGCATGCGTGGGTTTTCTCTGGGTACTCTGGTTTCCTCCCACAGACCAAAAACATTCATGTTAGGCTGATGGGTAACTCTAAATTGTCCCTACGTGTGAGTGAGAGAGTGAATGGTTGTTTGTCTCGTTTGTCTCTGTGTCCATGTGATGGACTGGAGACCTGTCCAGGGTGTACCCCGCCCCTCGCACAGTGATTGCTGGACATGGGCACCAGCGACCCCCGTGACCCAAAATGGAATAAGCGGGTAAAGAAAATGGATGGATGGATGGATAGATGGATGGATAATCTCATTGAGCCTTGGGGACTCATTTACATGAGATACCCATAAGGAAAGTTTTGTTGTGGGGTTGGGGTTAGGTTTAGGACTAAGGTGTGAATTGCAAATGGGTTAGGGTTAGGCATGTACTAATAATGGTTAGGTTTAGGGTAAGGTCAGGGGTAGGCTGTAGAAAAGGAATGGAAGTCGAAGCAAAGTCCCCAAAATGTACATTTACAAGAATGTGTGTGTGTGTTGATGCATACAAATCTCTATTATTGTCTTGGGGGGAACTTAACAGGACATTTTCAGTATTTTATGATGTTAATAGAATGTTTGCTGATATAGTGGGCTGATCACGGACTAAATTAAAACTGGAACTCAGGAGTGCGTATTTGTTGTTCACTTCTACTGAAATTAAACAGTACTGTTAGATTTATTGGCAGCATCAATATTTTAGTTGTTCTAATTTACTCGTTTTAGTTTTTTTTTTTATGTAAAGTCCTTTGAAATGCTTTTGTACATTCATGATAGATGTTGAAATTTGAGCATTTCATTGTGTTTCTTGTACAAAATAGAGAAACTCCCACATGAATTTGTTTTCGAAGAAAGATGGAGACAAACGAGAGGTGATTCTGTCACTTTGTAAATGTGCAAATGTCGGTTGTTTTACCAGGTCACTGCGGATATTTTGCTAGTTGGCAGTGCTGCATTGTTGCCGAGCTGCTGCAGGTGATGGTATGCTTGGCAGCTGCACCACAAATCGGTTCCCTGGACTGGCTGCAAGCATCCTTCTCTCTGCTTCTTTTTGTTTCGTTGGGCCTGTATTTAATTCTGGATTTTTATGATCCTCTATCTCTGCAGAGCTGAGCCCTCATGAGACTCTGATGCACTTCTCAGCACGTCGCGGCCTCTCTCGGGTTACACGCTTTTTGCTGCGGCAACCTGGAGCCAGAGAGGTCCTTGAGTTGGTCAACAAAGAAGGCGACACCCCATCGGCTGTTGCGGCATCACGAGGACACCAACACATCCAAGAGCTTCTCTCAAAGTAAGTGCAGTGACAGAAAAAGTTGCTGGAGGAAAACAAAAGACTGGTGAATGATTTGTACCGAGCAGCACCTTCTTTAAAAGATCTAAGTTTGTCCAAACTCTTTTCACACCATGTGACATCAATTGTGTCTTAAAAGATGCACTGAAACGTTGCTCTTCTCTCTGTGCAAACAGTTGCGTGACACCAAATCAGAAGACGGATAGTTTGGTCCCTCCTTCCTTTATTGCAGTGTTGTTTGTTGTCTTCACAGAACAATGAAAGTATTCAAAGGACACGGACACGGAGCCCCCACTGCAGCCCAGCTTAGCACTCAGATAGTTGAGGGCAAATGGAAAAGTTGTGGGCTGTTCCAGAGAAATCCAGAGTGAAAGCAAATGGGGACAGAAACTACAAATGTTTGAAATAGTCAAGTATTATCCACACTAATGCCTCCTTATGAAGAAACTAAGAGGTCAAACTTTCTCATTTTTCTAAATTAAAATTATTAACAACAAAGGAACAAACCAAGAAACAGGTTCAAGTGGAAACTCACCCCTTTTATGTCTTTTGAGCACTCTACATCTGAAGCAGAACAGTTTTCACTTAACAGAAAAAAGGATGTCACAAGCTGAAAGTAAACTACCACTTAGTGAGCTTTTGTTTTTTTTTTGGGCCAAGCGTTGCTTTACAACCTCCAGCTCTCTTTATGTGTTGGTAGTTACAATTTGCTTGTGACAAGTGAAGTCACTTGCAGCCTGACTGGTGACTTCAGCTGAACAGCCTCAGAGCTAAAGCGATCCACCCAGGATTACGCAAACAGATCTGTCTTACTGCGAGGTGTATCCCCTTCACAGCTCTAGCTCTGTAGGAACAAAAACACTGCGGCTAATTCAAGTTTCAGCTCATAAAGCAAAAACGGGAGAGGCTTGAAGTTTTCTTAGAAAGCTTATTAGCCAAGGGTGACCTTTTTCTAAAGTTATCACAGAATGTATTTTATTTGGTTATTCTCAGACCGGCTGCATCGTCTGAACCTTTTTTACTGTTTTTTTTCCAACTTAGGGCTGAGACTGATGCAGAGACGGGAAAGGGGACTGAGAGCGTTCATCGGATTTCTGGGGACGCCCGTGTGTTTTGTCACCTCCCCACTTTGAACACGCACACTCTGACTGTAAATGTCCAACCTGGCTGCGAAGCTCCGACACTTCAGAAGAGCGTGGAGCAACTGCTGTACCTAATTTCCCATCTCGGTGCCACGGTGAGTCACCAGCTTTCAGCAAAATGTTTCAACTCCTGTTGGCTTCATCCAGGAGCTCTGCTGCCCCTGGACTTTGTGGATTGTTTGTCTTTTCCACTGCTTTCATTTTTTTTAACCTTCATGCTTCGTTTGTATAACCAGTAGAACACCTTATGCAACCACAGAGTTGGCTCATGATAAGAACATGAAAGCAGCTCTGTTTGTTTCTCTACAAAAAAAAAGAAGAAGCAAGTAACGTTTTTCTACTGTCTTTTTCTGCTCTGTAGGGAGTTTGTGTACTGGATCTGCAGTTGGACTCTCTTCATGCCGCTGCTGAATGTTGTGATGGTGTAAAAACAGACCTAACCTGTCAGGAGAATCTCCAGCAGCCCACTTTGGCACCTGAGTGCCTGGATACAACAACAACTGAAGAGTGCAGGGGTGAAAACAACAAAGCGGAAAGTAGCGGCACTGTTGTTTGTGAACTTTGTGAGACTGGGATTTCAGAGAAAGATCGGAGTTTGCCTTCAAGTGCTCCAACTTCAGATTTACGCCCCCAGGAGTCCGATCTCAGCCCCCCAGAGGACTGGGTGTGTCCCAGTTCAAACGCTGAGGGAGATTGGTGCCAAACGGAGCAGGAGGGGAGGGTTTTTTCCAGTCAGAGTTTGAATTTGTGTGACAAGAGTGAGAGGGCAGAGGGTGAGGCTGAAGGGGAGAACGTCACTGTGGGAATCCTAGCAGCAGAAGGCTGTGATAAACAGGCAGAGGAAACTGATAGAGAGGCTGCAATCCGGGAAGAACAGGAGGCCAAGAAGGGAGAGGAGCAGGAAGCAGGAGACGGCACAGCCAAGAGGAGGGAGGAGGAGACCAGCACAGAGTCAACACTTTTAATCACAACCAGTGAAGACACAAAAACTTCAGTCATGGGCCTGTATCCGTCATCTGGGAGCTCTGAGGTTTCAAACACCTCTGACTTAGAAATGAAGGGAGAAGATTTAGAGAAAGAAGAACTAAACCAAAGGTTCTCCGATGGTCTTGATGGAGTGGAGGTGGAGAAAGACGGATTAACGGACCCCGGAACAACACTGAAGGACGTATCCAACCCATCGCTGATAGACTGCGATGATGTAATCGAGGAGTATGAATCGTCTGTTCCATGTCTCCTGATAGAAGGCCTCTGTGAGGGGGAACCTCCGCCAGACATAAACAGCCCAGAACAAAACCAGGAAACAGCTGGTAGGGATTATGTAGCGGAGCAGCAATGGAGCTTGGCTTCAGAGGCTGCCTGTCATTCTGGGAATTGTGCTGAAGCTGTGAGCAGTAAAGAACTGGATGGTGAAGAATTGCCTAAACCTCTATATTTTCAAAGCAGAGGTTCTCCTTTGCATGAGCCTCAGGATCTAGATTTTCGGACTACTGGAAGCGCCACAAAGACGCAGAGTGATCTTGTGAACTCAGAGCTATCGCCTGACAAAATGCTCACCAAGAGAAAGACGGATTATGAATCAGCCATGGCTCACGGTCTCTCAAGTGACGAAGACAGTTTTGTTTCTTTTAGGAGCTCTTCAACAGAAATCTTTAACCCCACTCAGGACAATGGCGCACTTGATGACGGGGACTTGCTTCGAACAAACGTAGAAGAACCATTCTTGGATGAACATGGGTCTGAGAACCCAGAAAGTTTAAAATCTGCTGAAAGCAACAAACTTTCATTATGTGTGGATGGAGGGCTCCTCTTAGAGCCCGGTCCGGTTAGTGAACTGACGCCTTCAGACTGCAGTAAAGATGGCACTGATCCTGAATCCCATCTGTCATCCAGCTGCAAGACAGTGGAGGCTTTACATCCTGAGGCCGTAGAGGAACAGGCCCTAGAACTTCCAGATGATTTATCGATACTTTCAGTGTTTTCAACTAACAAGGACATTTTAACGGAGGATAAAAGCAACATTGGAAAGTCCAACAGCTCTGCCTTGATTATAGGAATTGAGAATTCTTCATCAGAGTTGTCTACTGAGATCCTATCCAAATCTGGTTTATCTACTGCAGAAGGATGGATCGTCACTGGTTTATTTAAAGATGATCAACAGATAGACCCCAGTGAAAAATCAGAGAAGAGTGGAAATGAACAGTTTGTTTTAGAGCAACCCAAACTGGAAGACTCAGAGAGGACATCGAATGAGGGCCCAGCTGAGAATCACCTCTCTGTCCCTCTATCACAGGATAGCAATGCAACATCAAGCATAACAAATGTAAGCTCTTTGGAAGTGGAACCACCTGTACTTGAAACTGGTGCCTCTTTGGACCATCACATTGAGGACCAGGTGGAAGAAGATTTAAAAACTGGAGACGCAGTGGATGGAAGCATGGAGAGCTGCAGCTCTGTAGACCACGGTGGGTAAACTCTGTTTTATGTACTTTCCTACTCTGGTTTATTTTAGTTCTGCACACACTCATACATCACAGTGTGATATGTTTATCAAAGCCTTATTCCTAAGCTAATATGCTAAATCAGAATCAGACTTCCTTTAGTGATTAATGGGAAATGCTCTGCAAAGTTAAATGCCATGTAGTTCACTATAATTGTGGTCAGAGAGTTTTTTTTAGCTTTAGTTTGACATCCTGTTGTGATGTATTGCTGATGCAGAGACATGATTTGCTTGACGTTTGTTTTTTAGGACTAATTCTCCAACCAGTTAGGGTTTAGCACACAGCAATTAGTTTATAGATTTTTTTTTTTTATTTAATTCTATGCATCCTGGTAACTTTTCCAAAATTTTCATGCGAGGACAGAGCAACACTTCACAACATTTAGAGTAAAATAAGACACTGAAATGGGTGATATCTGGAAAATCTTTCATCAGTCAAACAACAACTGCCACTGTCTTCAAATGCTCATAGTGAGTCTCTGTTACTTGATTGTATGTATGTTCTGACTGCAGAGTAGCACACATGTCAGCAGACAGTCACATTACCACAGGTTCTGGAAAACACAACACACCAAAGCCAGCTTGTGTGTGTGTTTGGAGCAGGAAGTGAGACTTACAGAGTCGCTCGTCTTCAAGTGAACTTCCAGCACTCGTCTGACTGCAATTTTCACTCATCTGAAATAATTGTACTGGACCCAAGTCCAATAAAGAGAGGTCGAGGGCAAGGTTAGTGCTGTGCGTCACTCACAGCGCTGCGTGTGTCATTATGAGTCGGAGGATATATTTACAGCATGACAGTGGCCTGGTACCATGTAATATCACAGGCCATCTCAGACGGGCTCTCTGCATTTCCTCAGGTTGTATATCAGGATGTGGACTTTGTCTACGCCATTGTTCATATTTTATGGATTTTTGTCTTAAGAGTTATTAACTTCCTCTAAAATTCACCCAAGCCAAGTTTACTTGTGTAATCAGATCATTTTTTTCCCACTGCATTAAAGCTATTGTTTGTGTTTTTATTTTTACAGAACATTTAAATATTTCACGTTTTAATAGTAGTAATGAGAAATATGCCTTTAAGGAAAGTTTAAAGGAAAGTAAACCCTACTGCTTCTTAGTGTTTGTGCACTACCTATTACTCATCAGTGTTTGTGCACTAGGACAGCTTCTCTTCTGCTCTCTGCATGGTGTGGCGGCTGTGGCTGAGTGGTTAGAGCAGTCGTCCTCCAATGCAAGAGTTGGTGGTTCGGTTCCACCAGCAGTCACATTGGGCAAGACACTGAACCTCTCACTACCTCCGATGTGTGTCCCATTGGTGTATGAATGTGATAAAGCACTGATTAGTCTTTGTATATATCTAGTAGAGTGCTGTATGAATGGGTAAATGAGGACACAGATTATAGTGTGAAGCACTTTGAGTATCTTGATAAGACAGAAATGTGCTATACAAGTACAGTCCATTTACCCATAAACACTTTTTTTTGACTACGTATGCTGAATTTAAGCTGTTTGACTAATTGAATTGTGTTGTGTGCATTTCTCCAGAGGAGGACGTCTTCAACTCTGAAGACACAATAATTGATGCAGGGGAGGAAGAAAATGTCCCTGCAGAGGGACCAGACTTCTCCAAGGTAGGATGGAAGTTTCTCTTGTAGTTTTGAATGTTTTTCAGGTTCAGCTGTGTTGTGGATATGTCTTTGCTGATAATGCATTTAGGGCAAGTTGGTATTTATTAAAGCTTTGAAACGCACGTTTCAAATTTCATTAAGTTTGACCAGACTCCTGTTGTTTCTAATATCATCACAACGTTCAGATTTAGGTAGAATTGTGCCTGGATCAACCTCAAGTAATTCTTATTTACTATAAATATCAGCTTGAACACTGGTGCTTTTTCACACTAATATTCCAGTAAAATTCATCCAAAAAAGTTGAGGTTTCAAAAGCATGTTCAGTAACAAGACAGATCACCAAAACTCTGTGGGAAGACAGAAAGGCAACGGTTTTCAAGGAGATTCATGCGCCAACAGTTTGGTGGGAAATTATTTTTGCTTTAGCATGTTAGTTGTTTAGTTAGAAGTTTTTGCTAATTGTGTATTTGACTAATAATATATTGTTGTAGTGTTTTTAAGACCTTTAAATAATGATCTAAATGATGATAAGGTTGCAACGTCTAGTGTCTCGTTCCCTTAAAGTCGGTGCGCTCTGTCAGCTCAGCCGCTGAGCACATGGATACAATCTTCTGTAGACCAGGCTTTACTCTGAAATTTTGCTGACTGACAGATTCCTCTGCAGCCATAGACTGGAGTGGATCTGTGTATTCCTGGGTTGTGGTTTGGGTCAGTGGCTTGCACTGAATGCCAGATGTTTGACTTCAGGAGAAACTCTGAGCGTGCAGGATAGCTGGGTCGCCAGCAGAGGGGGATGTAACCACAGAGGCTTTACAGGATGATGGCGTTAACGACCAGCCATTTGATCCTGTCCAAATCTTCTTTAATTTCACTTCAGGGCAGCAAATATCAAGACATGTTACAGTGTTTTGACCAAACTATTACACTCAAGTTGCAAAATGTACAAAACGTTTAAAACTTGAATATAAATTTCATTATGAGGGGAAATACATCATTGAAATTCAGTACAAGAAGCAATCAGGCAAGATGAAGTAAAAATATTACAGAAACCACAGGGAAAGAGTATAGACTTAATGCTTTAAAAATTATTTGGCAGCAGTATTCAAAGAGATCTCTGGACGAAAAAAAAAAAATCTGTCCAAGTGACAACAACAACGACAACTGTCTGCAAGAAACAAGATATAAGAAAAATGAAGTAATTAATAACCTCAAAGAGTGCAGCGGTGTTGTGACTTGATGCAAGCTGTATAGATAGCAGATAATTTAGCCCCAGTTGGTTCAGCATGTGTGACATTCTTTTTGCATATTGCATTTCAGACTCCAGTTACTCCTAGTTAGCCTCTCTGCTTTGCAGCACTTTGACCCATAACATTCACGCTGCTTGGGACAGCTTTAAATCACTCATCAGAGGGGACAACATAGTTTAGGAGCGGTGAGTCCTGCCCAAGTGCAGCGAAGAGCAAAACATCAATAAATGAGCATGAGATGAATTTAAAAGAGATTTTCAAGTAAATGGGATTCAAATAAACTAGAGGAGAAAGACTAAATGAAACAAGTTCACTAAGACAAAACAGGCTGAAATTATTAGATTAAAAAAAAACTCACGTTTGTACAATAATGTCATTTTTAGACTTTAAAATAGTGTAAAGGGTAACATTTTTGCTGTGCTTGTGCATAAAAAAAAACATGTTTTAAACCAAATCTTTACCTGTGCATATTAGGAAAATTATATTTTTGAATTCTGCTTGTTTTCTGCTCATTCTTTCACTCCTCTCATTGACAGAAAGTAATGAAAGAACACTGAAGTATTGTGTCCAGATTTCTTTGTGAGCTGGGAACATTTTCATGATCATTTCTGAAAATGAGCAGTTATAACTTGGCTTCTTCTGGTGAAAATAATCTGTAATTAATCACAGCAACTGACAACTCACCCCCTGGCTATTGAAGGCAAATCATAACGCTGTAGAGTCATTTTCACTCTAAAATCCAAGAGTAAAATAAAGTACAATTGTTCAGGCAGTGGGTGGGGTCATGTGATAGAGCAAATTTTATGTAAAATCCTCCACGTTTGTATTTACACTTCCATTTATTAGAACACAAGCATGGAAGTTGTTCAGTATGTTACTTATTTTTTGTTGTATGTCATGAACTAAAAAGCACAAATAACTGACTGCACATATATATTAGGTAAGTTCTTTTCTCAAGAATAATTAATATCTCCTTTGTTCAGGTTGACTTGTTGCATCTTTAGTACAAATATTTATCAACAGAAACATGCATAATAAAAATGAATAACAAAATTTTGCTGTAACATTTTTTTTGTATTTCAAAAAAATAGTCCATGGCTACTGTAGCTGCTTCCTTTACAGTAACCGCCATGAATTTTTCATTTATGAAACCAGAAAGCCTTTTGATGTATTCAGCATTGGTTTTCACCGAAACTGCAGCCGTAACCTCTGAAATAACCTTTAAAGAGATCTGTTGTCTGTCACTGTTTTCAGTCCCATGTTAAGAGTTGGTCTCACTGGTGCCCATTAGGTTTTAAGGCCTCTTTCCAGTCAGTATTTGGTGCATGTAATATTGAACTGTCCTGGATGAAGACTGAGGCACAACGAAATCCTATACTCCCAAATGTCCTGGTTGCCACTCCTTTAAACATCAAAAGCCAAGGACATCTTTTCCTTGAAAAGCAACTAACACAACAATCTCAACCTTCTTCTAAACTGTGATTGTCCCAATGGCACGTACTGATAGTATTTTCATATGATAAACTAAAGCAATAAAATTAGGATGATTACAGCTCTAAAATATATTAATTAGAACTTTTTGGCTATAAAATATTTTCCATTAAACACAATAAGTTTGTCCTTAAACAAAAACTAGATTATTTGAAAAAAACTGTAACGTCATGAGTAAACACCAGGATATGAATAAAATTAATTCATCCATTTTCTATAGCAGTCTAATCTGGTTCAAAGTCACGTGGACCTGGTATAGATCTTCAACAGTTGAGAAACCAGTGAGACACATGGTACACACTGGACAAGTCATCACTCTATCACACGGCTTGTTGGAGGAAACCAGGGTACCTTGAGGAAACTTGGACATGTACAAGCCACATCATGCAGACTCCACACAGAAATGTCTTTGCCGAGATTTGAACATGTGACCTTTTTGTCGTGAGACAACAGCGGTAACCTGCTGATCTATATATGATAATAATGTCATTTTAAACAGAATAAATAAATTCCAAAACAAATTTGAGAATCTTTTAATAATGTTTACTTAAAATATATGTATTCAATGCTGGACTAAAGTTAAGTTTACAGAATTTGTAATATGATCTGATTGATTTTATCTAAAACCAAATGTATTTATTGTTACTATCAACACAGCTATTAATATTAATCATTTAATCATAAAATTACATCATGAGCATCTGTATAACACAATCAAATAGAAACATTAGAACCAGCAAGCTGTTGAAAGCAATCTTGCACTTCTGAATAGCTGAACGCAGCAACAAGACAAACCTCTTTAAATCCTCTTTCCTGCGGGGGCCCACAGGGCTCGATTCTTGGACCCCTTCTGTTTTCACTTTATCTTCTCCTTTTGGGGTCTGTCCTAAAGAAATATGGTCTTTCATTTCATTGTTATGCTGATGACTGTCAGATTTATTTGCCCTTGAAACCTAATAGTTCTTGCTCCATTCACCCTCTGTTAAAATGTCTTGAAAACATCAAGGCATGGATGGCTTCAAATTATTTTTTTTTAATTTAATGATCAGAAGACTGAAGTCATTGTGTTTAGCCCTAGCTCTACTGCCGTCTTTGATCCTGTAAACATTGACTCTCTTCAGCCTTATCTTAAGCAGACTGCTACAAATCTCGGGATGATTTTAGACTCTGACTTTAAGTTTAATAAACAAATTAACTCTGTTCTAAAAAAAGCTTCTTCCATTTAAGGCAGATAGCTAAGCTTAAGTTAGTGCTGTCCAGATCTACCTTGAAAAACTAGTCCATGCCTTTATCACTACCCGATTGGACTACTATAACACTCTCTATGTTGGGGTCAGTCAGGTCTCCATTTCATGTCTCTAGCTTGTTCAAAATGCTGCAGCTCGGCAGTTAACAGGATCTCATAGGTTTGATTATATTACACCAGTTTTATCCTCCCTTCACTGGCTCCCTGTACATATCAGAATTGATTTTAAAATTATCCTGCTAACATTTAAGTGCCTAAATAGCCTTGCACCCTCATACCTCTCTGAGCTACTTGAACCATATGTTCCTTCTAGGTCCCTCAGGTAATCTCATCATCTTCTTTTGGTTGTTCCAAAAACCAGACTGAAGCTCAGAGGCGATTGGGCTTTTTCAGTCGTGGGCTCCAAACTTTAGAACAATCTGCCCACCAACATTAGACAGGCCACTTCACTTCCTGTTTTTAATCTTTGCTAAAATCACATCTGTTTTTCTGGTTTTTAACAATGTCATTTGATTTAGTATTTTATTATTGTGTTTTATGCTTTTCTTTTGATGCTTTTAATTTTTTTTTTTCCAGTACTATCATTATTTTTATTTTTATTTTTTCCCATTAAATTACTCCCATTTTTCTTGTTAAGGACTTTGGTAACAGCTGCTGTTTTAAATGTGCTTAATAAATAAAGTAGACTTGACTCGACTTAAACCAAGAAATATACGTCATTTTTACAGAAATTAATTATAGTGTCACAGTGAAATGACTAATTTAGCAGAATATTAGCACTTCTCTGTTCTTCCTTCTGGAGAGTAACGTTAGAAGTGTGATAAGTGGATAGTGGGCAGTTAATTAGTCATCATACCCTTGATAGTAAACCTTTAGTAGGCTTATTATTTAACCAACAATAGATAAGAAATACCTTACTACCAGGCAGCATTTTATTTCAAAGTGACGATTACGTGGTGCTCCCGTAAATTCTTAATCACATTGCCTCCCCTTTTCACCAAGCCATTGATTTATGTGGT